AAAAAGCTCTCTGCCGGTCGTCCCCTCTTCAGTTGACCGACCAATGAGTATGTGCTAGATACTCTTAAAGCCATGTCTGTGCCTGTCACGCAAATTTTTGCTGCATGTGAAACCAGATTGGTGCAACTGCGTGCTGGAAAATGGAAAACTGTGGCGGCTAACCTTTCCAGCTCGAGGCCTGCATGTTCTTTAATCCCGCTGGTTCAGAGACTCACCGCTTCTGCAGGTACTCGTGTGGGTACACGACACTGGGTCCACTCACCTTTCAAGTGCGAGTCGCTTCAAATGGCTTCGTTGGCATGGCTAGAGCCATCACTGCCATGCCCCCGGCAACCGCACAACTGCATGAAGCGCACGACAGTTGGTTCAAACGGCAGCCTGGGAGTGACCCCCATGACCCCCGTTGGCAGTCACAATCGTCCATGCATCCTCAGGCCGCCGGCCTGAAGCACCTGACTCTCTTCACTCTACTCGGCCTTTCCATAGCACTTTGTTGCAGGTACGCATGGGTACGTAGTGAATCGTCCCTCACCTCATCAGCATGTGCATTGACCCTCTTCTTTGGGATGGCGACCCATGCACATGTAAAGCCCCCGGCCTTGGCTTGAACCATCTTTTAACAAGGGGCGAGACACTTATGCACACAGACCCACTTCGTGCCAGCGTCGTGGTCAAGCAATGCAGCAAAGGCCTTCCCCAAAAAACAGAGCCGTCAGGGCGGCGGGTACGCCTAGGATGATTTTATTTGCCTGTGCTCACATCAAGCACCCGCTCCACAGCACTCCCAGGTCCCAGTGGAGCCTTGCACTTGCCTCGTACACCTCGCACTTACCAAGTCAGGACGATTCCCATACCAAACCTCCGTGACAGCCTGGTTGGACGGTGTACATCCGTCGAGCCCTGCTCCGAGAGAGCATCGAGCTGGGGGGGATGCTACTCACGTTGTTGAATCTTTGCAAGCCAAGGAAACGCGGCTGCCGCATGCTGTCGGAACTTCAATCCGCCGCATGGCGCAGCTGAGCAGCCATGAGTGGATTTGTTTGCATGCCAATGCGGGCCATGTTCTCCTCTATCTTGGCCACAGGAAAACTGCAAGGAATCACGACTTGTGGAATATCTTGAGACTTCTCGGCACAGCGTGATAAGCATAAGCAACAAGCGATCCCATGGCTTAGTTCTCTAGGGCCACTTGCACGATATGGTGATTAGAATTCATCTGTAGCTGTTGCATTGCTCATGCTTGCCCTTCCCAGCCTCATTCGTCGGAAATTCCTGAGGCGATGGAAACAGGATGCGACCCCACTTGCGGACATTTGCGGACGTACGAATTCGGCACTGTCACAAGACACCTGCCGCTGCTCGAAGCTGCTGCCGTTGTGACTGAACAGGACCAACTTCTTCCTCATTGCCACACATACCTTTGCAACTCTGAGTGTGACATCTGAAATTACTAGTCTTCCGCCCTCTTCGTCGCCTCTGCAGGGCTTGTCGCTTCGTCACCGGAGCCCGTGTGCAGACACATGTTCTTCACCTTGAAAGCCACACCACAGAAGACATGAAGACTTGCTCAATCAATCAAGCGCAGGACGTCTCTGCACAGCTCCACCTCGGTCACAGAGAACTTCGTCGGATGCTTCTCCGCAACGAAAGCTAAGCTCAGCTCGGGCGTGGCCGACAGGACGTCTGCCCGCAGCACATAGAGGACTCCATCTGATATGGCGAACACAAAGCGTGAGGTGGCACAAACCTGCGCACGAAACATCTGAGATTCAATGTTGAAGTATGACGATACCTCTCCATACGCGTCCACAGCGAAAGCACCGACAATCATGAGCCCAGCCTGCTCGACAGGTCGTTTTGAACCAAGGGACGCGGCGCCCCTCAGTGCAGCTTCTGGTGGATCCTGCAGATCTGCGACAGCTGGCTGCATGCAATCCAACACGGCAGGTCCTCAGAGCTCTTTGCCGGGAACGAAAACCTCAGCGACATTCACCGACTTCGAGATTGCACCAAGGCGGCGCGGGCTTGAGGCCACAGCTGCAGAATGTTCCCGATTGCAGTGCCAAGGTACACTGAGTCCCCTCGGCAGCGACTGGAACAAAGCGGACACAGACGATGGAATGTTAGCCGCAAGCCTCCAGAGGAGATGCTTTCGATCTTCTCTTGCACATTGAGAAGAGTTACCTGCTGTAATACACGTATGTACACCAGACAATTCCAGTGGCCTACGCAAGGACGGTAAGGTGTCTGTCTGGGATGCGCACTGCACGGAATGGATCCATTCCCTTCTTCATCTTGCTCAAGCATGTGTCTGCTATGCTGGCTAAGTTGACGCATGAAACTGCTCCAATCCATGCCAAGCCCTCCCGGCGAAGCTTTACAACGGGTAAGTTGCCTCAAGCTTGCCATTGCTGCTACTTAGCACTGGTTGCTGAAAGCTTTGCCCAGCTGTAGTCGATATCTTCCCGATTGCAGCTGTGTGTCAAGCGCGTGCACTGCTGGTGAAGACGATAACACATTCCGCCTGAGGCATCAGCACATTCCGCATGACCCGAGACCATTCAGCTCTCTTGCCCATGCCCTGGTCGAGCAGATCTACACATTGCGGCAACCCAAAGCAGCACCCAATTGCGGCGTTGTCCTCATTGTGCCTCTTTGAGCCTTCACCTCATCTTTATCTTCTTTACGAAGTAGAATGACATTCGCTTTGCTCGGCTGCCCAGCGCACTGGGTTCGTCTTTGAACCACCTCTGCGTACAGCAGTCACGTGATGCAGAGACTCAGCTGCAAAACCATAGAGTCCCTAGAGTCTTCAACATCGCCATCGCAGACTGTCCCCTCGGCCCGACGGCACCCAGTTCTCGTCAGGCTCGAGGCTACATGAGGCTACCATACAGCTTTTTCTCCTTCCAGCAGAAAACAAGTATGAAGTAAGTCCTTACAGCAGATTAGAGCTGTACTGGGCCCCCCAGGGGACGTCATCAACCCATAAACGTTCCCTATCGCCCCTATCGCCATTTTGAACGTTGCACCTTTCACGCGCGAGGGTTTTGCATGACTTTATATGTTCGAGTTAAGTTCTGTATAAACTTGCAGACAACGGACCGTTGCTGAAACTGCCTTGAGGGTGTCGCGGTTTTTCTGGATACTGCGAAGGCCCGGCAAGTGCTGTTTCATGCTGCTGTTCCAGTGCCTGCCCGGGTACACAACAACACCAATGCAACCCATGCAGAACTCTGCAAAAGTCAACTGCACATGAGAGAGGGTGACGAGGGCACGAGGCATGTTGCAACAAAAAGCACGTTTTGCCGGGCAGGCTGCGAGCACTGAGCTCTGCATTCACAGGCTTGCATCTTGTGGCAATTCTTCGACTACAACATCGCACGTCGCATCTGGTCCGGAAGTATGGCGATATCCAACCTGAGACGAAACGCTTCACATGTGGTCGAACAAGCCTTGTTTCACGGCTGCACATCACACACCACTCAGCTCGCAGCCTAAACGGAAGTTGGGGATACTCCAGATGATGCCTGGCTTTTTATGATACGCTGTGGGGACACAGCACAGCCGCGTGGCATAGCCACTTGCTGCTCAGGTGGTAGTGCCATCACACCACAATCACTGGCCAGCAGTTCTCCACATTTAGAAGCCTCAGCACGGCCACGACCTGCAAGTCATCTGCGTATCTTTCACTTAAAGCCGCAACTCAAGAGTGCCTGTGCTACTTTACAGGCGCTTGCGAGCCTCCAGATGGAAACTGCTTGGCGATGGCTCATATTGATCTCTGCGGCCTGAAACAATTGCTGGCCACGGAGAAAGTCGTTAGTGGTCATTCTTTGAGCCATGAGGCGGGATCGATCAAGATGTAGCTGAAGCTTTTTGATGGTGTCCTGAAGCCAGTGCACGTGAGAGGTTGGCGATAACAGTACCGGTGGACTCCAAAGCATCACTGCCCCACCTGCAGCACACGCAAGTGCGGGAGGATCCAAGAACTCCTGCGCAGGTATGAGAGGCTATGACGTATGCGGGCGAAAACATTGAAGCTGCCTTGTTGGCAGGCCGAATGCAGCACATAGCCCAATGATCATGGACCGGCGCTGTATCATTGCAACCTCCAGAGTCCATGCTTTTCTGGCAGGACATTGGCGCACCGATCTTTCTGTCGTGCAGACCAGCCCCAAGCAGCTTGCCCAGAAACCATACAACCCCTTTGGCCGTGCTGCACCTCTGACATTCGCAGCGAGTTGCCTGCCTGGCGAGGAGATGCGCTATAGCGAGAGTTGAACGTGGCCGCCTGGCCTCGCTGAACTTCTCGAGGAGAACAGGAAGGAGCAGCCTGCAAGCTTCATGGTTACGCGCATCGACCTAGCTCAGCCACCCGACCACCGGTACCTAGCTCCAGTGGTATTGCGCATGTAAACCTCGGGATGTGCATGTGAAATGTACAGGTTCAGCAGCAGTTTCTCTTCAGGTCAAGCAGCGGTTGCAAGCGCGAGGCCCATGCCTAAATCACCACCTCGGACCTGGCTTGAGATCAGCCGGTGCGGGCGTGCAATGTTGCTTGTATCATCTTGTAGCTCAGTCCGCAGCTGACCTTTGCAGTTCCTCAGATGACTCAGATGTTTCAGTCCTCTTCCTCGACATCTCTGTGGATCTCTATAATGAACAATGTCGTCGGGTTATTTGGACGGCATCTTCCGTCACACTATTACAAGCAGCCCTGCATGTGCACTGCCACCACGGCTTTCTGCAGCCGAAGGTCTCTGGGATTTTGCGCAAGGACGCGGCAACAGTGCAGGGCCTGAAAGCGTCTCCTGATCCGGAGCGCTCTGCAGCGCCACACTATGCCAATGCTGTTTGCTACGACGTAATGTCTCAGTCCCAAGCCAGTCAAGCAATGCTGCAGCTGTGACCGCAGCACTTAGCGATGCTCCATCCAGATGCGACACGCGTGCCGCTTCCTGCAGTGCAGCGGTGTCCGAACTGCGACAAGCTCACAGATGCTCAAAGCAGCTGTCGTTTCGACCAAAATCAAATGTCTGCTTTAACGGAGGGCATATGTTCAGCTAGGATGGACGACCGCCGAACAATCAAAGTAGTCAGCATATCGACTGTCTTCCAACGGCAAGTTCTGCCAAATCTTACGTCTTACAAAGGCTTGATGACGAAGGGCAGATTTGCACGGACAAGTGCCAGGCGAATGCTAAAGAAGCAAGTGCCAGAACATTCGTCAGGAGGATTGATCTTGACTATTCAGGAAGCTTCGGTAGCGAGAGACACACGAGATTCATGACTTGGTAGAGCCCTTGCAAGTAGCAGCACGACGGTAAGCGAACCTCACCATGAGACGACAACGTACAGACGACAGGTGCCACACTGCAGTTCCATCTCCACTTTCCAGAAGCACGGTCCTCAAAGAGTGGGAAGGCCTTCTGACAAAGCGCCTGCAGAAAATGCAAGATTTCAACACGTTGCAAACAAGACGGCTGACTTTGCTGACTTTGGACTCAGACGACCTCATCGAGGAAACGGATCTTTGCACAGGCAAGCAGGAAGACGGCAAGCTCGGAAAGGGGAAACTGCTCTAACCCTCGAGTCACTCTTTCAGAAAGCGCTGCGAAGAACTCGTCGTCCTCCAGCTGGTTGTCTGCATAGCACCGTGAAATGGTTGCTATCTGTAAGGGGCTGAACTTTTCCGTTGTGTCCTGGATTTGTTTGGCCATCATGAACAGCCAGAACTCATCCATTGGCAATGCTCCAGTGAGAGCTTCCACGAAGCATGTCGTCTGTTCAGCTGTGAGCTCTGGAATTCGGGCACAAACAAAATGGGTAAAGAGATGCACAACACGAGCACCAAGAGGAAGCGCGGCTTCGTGATCAATACTTTTGCCCTTCTGCTTTAGCGACCGTGCGTGCCGGCATTGGTCGAATATCCAGGCAACCTGGGCTACACTAAAAGCTTCTTGCTCGTGAAGTAGACTCACGGCTTGCCAGTGCTTGTTGAGGCCCGCTGCAATCCCATCTTTTCCAATCAGGTCCAAAAGCTGCTCTGGAGATGGCAATGACGCGCCCGGATCACCAGCCTCGCTGGCTGAGACCGAGAGCGCGGTGGCTTCAAAACTTGTTTCGGCGTGAGGTTGCTCCGGTGGTGGCGGTGGTATCGGCGGCTTCGCATGAACTGCTGAGCCTGCTGAGGCCTGTGGTGTAGACGGCAGCGGCGGAGGAGGTGGACGGATGGCCACAAGCTGATGGATGTGACGGGCAGGTCGTACGGCTGCAGCATCCAAGAGAGCATAGCGCAACCCACACATGCATCGTGCCATACATGACAAGACAACGTCAGTTAAGAATCTCAGTCAAGACCAAGGGCACTAATTTAGTCGAGATGATTCTGGTACATGGATCTCTTCAGAAACGAGTCTAAGACAAGCTCGCACTCTTGCAGCGTCCACTGGTGCTTCCAGGCCGCCTTTGACGCTGAAATGAGCTGCAGAGATTTCACAAACGCACGGCGTCCGCCGACCAAAGCTACTTGCTACCAGGGTTTTCCCTTCCAAGACAGACCAGCCACTGGATGAGACTTGACATGGCAGCAACACAGCATGTGCAAATTTGGATCATGCTTTCTGGCCAGACCGACATCAGAAGTCTTGCCCTGTGACTCAATAAAGTCTTCTCCTCCAATAGATTTGCAAGGATGAGCAACAAGCACACGAGGCGAATTTGTCCAAAAAAGGGCTTCTCATATGCCTCTGGCTTGCCTAACACAACCCGGGTAAGGCCTTCAAGGGTCTTCGTGTTCGACAGGGTTTCTTGGATGGGGACATCCTCTAAAGTTTAAAAGGCTTGCACGGCACGGGCTCAGAAGGGGAAGTTGAGGCTTAAGGCGATGATGGAAACCATTCTCTCCGTCGCTCACCGGTTGACAGGTATCTAAACTTAGGAGCTTGCAACATGCATTGCAAAAGAGAACTCTGGAAACCGTCATGAAGACCACAGGCTCTCCTACCAGTCGACTTCAAGCAACGAGTGAAACCACCGACTAGTCAAGTCACACCTGATAAGGCCAAGCTCACGGACTCGATTCTTCGGACATGTCGGTTTTTGGCTGGCTGCTAACGAAACTCTGGATGATTCTCGCAAGCTTTCCGAAACCAGTGATGAGCGGCTTGGCAATGTGACCACAGTACCAAGCAATGTGGGACGTCAGACCCTTGGCAAGCACATCGCGCAGGAAACCATTTTTCAGATGGACGTCAGCTCCGTCAGCCGCGCTCTTGATGGCTGCGACTTT